TAATTTATAATTACTATCTCTTCCTGTTAAATTGTTCCCTTAACTAATATGTAGTGATGTTCTTTGCTTCTTTGAAATAGTTTTGGCTTGAAGTCCACTTTGTCTGAAAATAGGATAGCTGCTCCTGTTTGCTTTGGGCCCCCATTACCCGGAATATTGTTTTCCATCCTTTGATTTTTTTTTTTTTTAGTCTATGAATTTATTTTTAGATTTTTTTTTTTTTTTTTTTGAGACAGGCTCCAGCCGTCCTTGAACTCACTAAATAGCCCAGGCTGGCTTTGAACTCATGGCGATCCTCCTGCCTCAGCCTCCCCAGTGCTGACATTATAGGCGTGCACCACCATGCCCAGCACTCTTTTTGAATTAAATATGTTTTTTGTATATAGCATACTATTCGGTTTTGTTTTTTGATCCAATCTGTCAGTCTGTGTCTTGTGATTAGATAATTGAGACTGTTCACATTGGTAGTTATTACTGAAAGGTGTTGCGTGATTTGTCATTAGATTATTTTCCTGTTGCTCCCCTCTTTTGCTTAACTGCTCACCCTACTTGTCCCAGTCGTCCCATTTGGCTTTTCTTGGCTTCATAACGTTTGTGTTGAGAGAAGTCTGCTGTAATTCTAATGGATTTACCACTGTGAGTGATTTGTTGATTTTCTGTAGTAGCTTTTAAGATTCCGTCCTGTTAGGGATTTTAACTGTGATGTGGCCCAGAAGGGTTCATTTCTGATCCTGGCTATTTGGGATTCCATATGCCACACTTCTCTGTATGTTAAGTTCCATCTCCATATTTGGAAAGTTTTCTACTATTAGTTCTAGAAACAGGTTTTTTATGCCATTTGTGCTAGCTTCTGATTTTTTTCCTAATTCCAATTAATCTTGGATTATTCTTGTTTATTAGGTTACAAACAACATAAAGGTTCAACAAAGAGAAATACAATTAATTTAAATTGATATACTTTAATTGATATATAGTACTTTACAGCCATTGAAAATCATGATTAAATGTGGAAATTATCACATATCATCAGTTAAAATATAAACTATAATATATTCCATATATAATAGATTAGTAAATAATAATAGATTAGCATAATAGATTAGTAAAACTAACTCAGATCATACATTTTTTTTTTTTTTTTGGCACTGGGGATCAAACTCAGGACCTTACGCTTGCGAGGCAGGCGATGGAACCACTGAGCTAAATTCCCACCCCCAAAATGTTTTAATTGACATCTAGAATCTTTTATTAAATGCAAAAAGGGAAATTAAAGAGAAAAACATTTTTCCACAATTACAGTAAAAAAAAATAGATTTTGCAAGCTAGATATAAATTGTTTAAATTTAAATTTTTATATTTTATTAAAATATTTTCCTTTCAGAAAAAAATCACACATTAAATTATATACACAAATTTACAGAAATTACAAATATAATAGGAAATTTGAATTTGATGAAAACAAACAATGACAAATGAACAAAAGAAAACAAAAACAAAAAACACCTGATAGAAGTGCTGGTGGGTAAAAAAATAGAGATTAAATCAGAGGTCCTCAAAACCTGAGTCTCTAAACATCAGCGCCCTGTCTAATCTATCATGATCTGAAGAATAGCATAGATACCTCCAAAGATTATTAATTATATATGGGTGATATCACATGTCTATGGAAAGTATTTGTAGTAGTGTATTATATAGATTTTCTATTAATTGTAGGATGATTTTTATAGAGAATTTTCTGCATCAATTTTGACCTTATCAAAGAGACAGTCTTTGACTACTTTTATAAAAGTAGAGTTTGTGTCTTCTTGCCTTTCTCAAACTTTTACATTTATTGTCAGGTGATCTATTATATAACTGCTTGTTTGCTGTTTTTAACCCCCACCCCAAATACAGTGAAAGCTTGGAATAGAGGCAGTGTGGCCTGTGGCTAAGAACACACGCTCCAGAACTGACCACCCAGGCCCAGATTCATAGCTGGCATTTACTACTTTGTGGCCTTGGGGAGGTAACTGGTGGATAATCTTGGCTCCTGCCTCATAAACTTACTGTGGACAGAGAGTGGGCGTGTCTGGAGCACTTGGGAAAGGGGTTGGGCCAGCGGGCACTCTCTGTGTACACTTGTTACTGCTGCTTTGTTTGTTCACTGTTTACTACTTCAACCTCAAATCTGAGCCAAAACCTAGCATACAGTAAATACTTAGTAAGTAATAATTTCAATATATTTCTTATAATCTTATAAGAAATTACAACTTCCATCTTGCATTATGTATGGCAATTCAGTTGGAATGTATCAAAGACCTAAACGTAAGAACTAAAATTCATAAAGAGGGGCCGGGGATGTAGTTCAGTGGTGCTGCCGCCTCCCTCACAAGCGCAAGGTCCCCAGTTCCATCCCTGGTGCCAAAAAAAAAAAAAAATCATAAAGAAAACAGAGGTATACGTCTTCCTGACCATGAATTAGGCAGTTTTTATATATGACATCAAAAGCATAAACAACAAAAGAAAAAACAAATAAATTGGGCTTCATCAAATTAAAACCTTTTGGGCCCCAGAGGGCATTGCCAAGAGAGTGAAAAAGCAACCCGTGGAAAGAGAAAGTAACAGATGAATCTGTTAACATCTAGTACACAGATGTAAGTAAGGCTTCCAGCTCAGCAACCAAAGGGAAACAACTGGATTTAAAATCAGGGAAAGGACACGATACAGTGGTACCCAGGAAGGCACAAATGGCCAAACTGGCACATGAGAAGTCCCTCAGCATTGCTGTCGTTTGGGAAACGCAAATCCAAACCACACGGAGATCCACTTCATGCTTGGGTAGCTGCTTTTTTTTAAATGGAAAACTAAGTGTAGGTAAGGATTTGGAAAAATTGGAGCCATCATACATTTTTGGTCAGAATATAAACCAGCTTAGCCACAGTGGAAAACATTTTGATACTTCTTCAAAAAGTTAAACGTAGAGTTATTCTGTGACCCAGAAGTTCTGCTCCTAGGACCTAAAAGAATTGAAAAGATATGTTCACATACAAAAAAAAGTGCATGCAGCATTACTCATAGATAGCCAAAAGATGGAAATTATTCATATGTCCATCAGTAGTAGAAGATGAACAAAATGTAGTGTATCTTCACAGTGGAATATTATTCAGGAATAAAAAAGAATGAGGCACTGATACACGCTACAACATAGGTAAGTGTTGAAGACATGCTACGTAAAAGAAATCAAACAGAAAGAAGTCACATATTCTCTGATTTTATTCATATAAAGTGTTTGTAGTGGATTAATTTATCAAAAGAAAAAGCAGATTAGTGATTGCCAGGGACGGGGACATAGGTGAGAGAACAGGAAGTATTTAAGGAGTGCAGAGTTTCTTTTCAGAGCAGTGAAAGTTTTCTGAAATTCAGTGGTGATAGTTAACACAGTTCTGGATGTGGTTAAAAAAAAAGCACTGAATTTAAGAAAGTGGACTTTAAATGGACCTTAATTGTTGGATTGTAGTTTCTATGCATCTTGAATTTTTTTCACCTTTAACTTTGCAAAATGAGTTACCTGTCTTACCAGTACTACAGTTAAGATCAGTATAACTTTCATAACACACGAAAAGGTTTTAAACTGGTGAAATGTCTGCTGCAGGAATAGGTATATATGTAGTGAGATAAATGGAAAGTGTTTTTTTATAATCTTATTTAGATGTGTTACTGTGTTAAAAAGACTAAGCTATTTGACTATAGGGCTTTTTGTGTGTAGGTGCTAGGGATTGAATCTGCATCAGGCAAGTGCTCCACCATGGAGCTACGTCCACAGCCCTTCCTCACTTTTATTTTGACACAAGGTCTGAGCTGCACAGGCTGGCCTCAAGCTTGCAACCCTCCTGCCCCAGCTTCTCAAGGGCCTGAGACTGCAGGTGTGCGCCACCGTGCCCAGCCAGCACTGTCTTTTCTATCGCATTAATTTCTCTATGCATTAGTTTAACAACATTTTCTTTCAAATTTGCATATTTTAAACAGTGGAAGATAATGTGATAGAAATTTTGAAATTTATTATATCCCTGTTGCAAAATTAATTTTTAGCATGAGTAACCTTTGTCATAACTATTATGTGTTCCTGCATTTAAGAAATATATGAATCTATGTATTTTATACTAACTGCTCCGTAATACTGATGATCTAAAATGTGTGGCTCAGAGTAACAGGATTTGCTGAACTTCTCGTGTCCCTCGTTCATTGGATGCTTAGCAGTTTATAAGATTGTGATTACTTATTTAAATCTCCACATTATCTTTGTGATTCTAATAAAAATTATTTTATATGCATTTCTTTTTCAAAAAACTTGTTTGTTTTTTTAATTCTATAGTACCTGTTTACAAAAACAAAATGTTTCCTGCTTTTTGTAGTCACTTAGTGGATCATCTTCTAAAATTAATAAATTGGAATTCAGCATCTCTTCATTTAATCAGAGATTTTAAATTCTACTTTCGTTGGTAAAGAGGAAATATAAGCTTGCAGGTACAAAACTAATATTTGATATGGGTAAAATAAATGTCTTTATTCTTAGTTGTTACTTTACCCATTATGTCGGTGAATGAGTTTTTTGAATTCTGGAATTACAAACCAGTAAATAGATTGTGCAGTGCTTTATTTTTACCTTGTGGCAAATATAACAATAATTATATGTAATGTGTAAGTGCTAATTCCAGGCTTGCTTTAAAATACAGTTTTTGAAAAATGTGCTTAGCCTCTTATTGGAATAGTAATTGATTTTTGTGATAATAGAAGCTCAGATATTTTCAAATTCTAGTTTATTACTACAGCATTAAATTTCCCAGATAATATACCCTTTTTCTGATTTAGAAATGTCTATATTGTTGTTAATTCATGCTTAAATAAATACTAAGACACCGATTTTTAATACATTGGAAAGTTATAGTTTTGCCAATATTATGATTTTAAAAGTTGTCATATTTACCACAGATGCTCAATAATGTATTATTCTGTTTTCTTAGGAACTTCCTGCACCATTACTTGATGATAGTTATAAAAGAGAACTTGAGGAAGATGAATGTAATCATAAAACACCAGAATCTAATGTGAAGATGAAAATAGCTTGGCGGTACCAGTTATTACCCAAGATAGAGGCAAGTCACCCTACCAGCTATGTATAATATGTGCAGACGGACTTATTTACTATTTAAATAATTAAGCATTTCATTTAGTGTTTGATTAGATGGTGTATGTCTTACAAATAACGATAATTTTTACCAAAATAGATTATTCTATTTTTCCCCAATTTCCGTATAGAATCCTTTATTCTAGGCTTGCTGGCAGCAGTAAGTGAACTGATGAGGCCATTTACATCCGTTATGGTCACCTACAAGTATTCAGTGTACATGGTAATTGTGGAGCTGCTATTTTGATCCCTATGCATATTCAACCATTACCAAACTCAGTTATCTCACCTGTCAAGAATAAGCTGGGACACGTTCCATCCCTGTACTGGAAAAAAGAAAAAGAAGAAGCTGAGACAGGAAATGAGGAGAGGTTTCTGGAAGGCAAAGCAGGTATCAGTTAAGCCTGTCGTTTAAAGTCAGGAACTGGCATGAGCTCTTTGCAAGAGCTCTGTTTGCCAGTTGTTGCTGTTGTCGTTCCTCTTCGGTAGTACTGTCCTTGGGACTAAGCCCACCTCACACATGCTAGGCAAGCACTCTTGCACTGTGCTACATTCCTAGCCCTTTTTAATTGTTTTTCAAAGTCTGACACATGATGTTGCTGCATTCCCCAGGCTGGCATCCAGCTTGTAACCTTTCTACCTCGGCTTCCCAAGTAGCTGGGATTATAGACATGTGCCACTGTGTCTAGCTTTTGGGGGCCGCCCAACCACCTGACCAAGGGTACGGCGAGGATGAAGAACAAGGGGTAGTTTTAACTGGGGGCACCGGAAGGCCCAAGCTCTTCAAGGATTAAGACCCTGAGGCTCTGGACCAGCCACTATTTATTGGTTACACAGTATAGCAGGGGATGTAAAGGCAAAGCTAGGAAAGAACAGGACTAAGGACTGAGAAAAGCCAGGCCTGTAAAAGGGAGGAGTGGTGGACTCCTGTGAAGGACAGATCATAGTTAGGAAGCCACCTGTGGTATCTTTAGGTGGCGTTTGATCTGAGAGAAGGCTGCACAAGAGTCGAATCCTCAGCTGTGGTGTCATCTTGCTTTCAGAGGCACCACAGTATCATTGACCATTAAGATCTCAACTGTGAACATTGGCTTATGGAGCTCTATTTCCACATGCCAGCCGAAGGATCATTCAGCGAGTCACATAGGCCAAGGACAGATTCTCAGTTTCATTAATAGCCCATTTATTAGCCAATCCAATAACTTCCTATAGCCTGGCCAGTGTGGTTTCAAGCTGGTCTCCTACACAACTCTGTTTATTTAACTAACCCCTCTTTTGGCTGATCACTTCATTCTCTTCTCAGGACACTTTGATGTCTGCCAGACTTTATCTTGTTGTTAGAAAAGGGGAAAATTCTAATCAGAATGAGACATAGTTCTCCTTCCCTCTCTCTGGTCTTCCACGTTGACATCTGCATGGTCTTTCCCAAGGACGGAAGTAGGTTGGCAGTGCTTTGTAACTTCAGATGCCTCCCTTGTTTTCCTGTTTGTGCTGCCCCTTCTGAAAGATGGCAGGCTGTTGTTCATGCCACATTGCTGCCAGGCCCAGAGGCAGCATCCAGCCCTGTCTTGCATGACCTGTGAGGGAAGGTACAGTGTGAGGTGTGCACTTCCTGTGAGTGTGCACAAACTATAGCCTCACCCAAGCTGGCCACCCCAGACCCTCCCTTCTATGGACGCTCACTCTCTGAGAGCCGCCCCTTGGGAACAGCTTGGGTTTCTGCTGGCCGTGCCTTTCACTTTCTCATTCACCAAGTCTTCCTTCTCTAAGTGCACTCAGACATCTTTCCGTGCAGATTATCTACATTGTCATTTTTATTTTCCATAGCACTTCATAATTTTCAAGCTCTCACGTTATTTCAAGTTAATTGTTAGTACAACTCTGTCTTCCACCAGAGTTCTTCATGAGGACAGAGGACTTGTTTTCTTTTCTCATGTCTCTCTGCCACCTATACTAATGCCCAGATCATGAATAAATATTGAGTGAATGTTAAAGGCATTCATTCATTCAGTTGGCAAATATTGATTAAGCATTAACAATAATGCATGCATATTAAGCAATGGCAGATTTTCATAATTTAAATGTGGAACTTGTTTGAATAATATGATTTGTATGAGTGAACCAACTGCAAACTGCAGAGAGAGTATTTGCAACTCATGTACTAAAATAAGGACTAATCTTTCATTTATACAAAGAACTAAGAAATTAGCATGGAAAAGCCCAAAATGCAATTTTTAGAAATGGGCAAAAATATGAAAAGAAAATTCAAGTGTCTTTTAAACATAAGCAAAATACCCAGATTCCCAATTTCAGTTGTAGTAAGAGAAATGCAAATGAAAACTGCACTGATCTGTCATTTTCTCTTGTTAGATGAACAGTGATCTGAGTTGTTTGGTAGAACACTGTGCTAGCAAGGTCAGAGGGGAACTGGTACTCTTGTACCTGCTGGTGGACAGATACCAGGTACCACTTCTGTGGAGACTAATTTGGTAGTGTCCTTCAGAAGTACAAAAACATACATCCATTGATCCTGTTGGAAATTGAAATTATGAATGCATTTACTCAGCTGTACAATGGAAAATGTGTGAGCTAGTCATGTAGCACGTTTTTAATAGTAATAGATTGGAATAACCCAATGTGCGTAGTATGCAGCTAGTTAAATGAACTGTGGCATGTCTGAACAGTAGAATAGTACACGCTTGTATTTGAAAGAATCCAGAGTTGTTAGTGTGCTTGGGAAACATGAGGTGCAGGTGCATGTCGGAGACGAAAGCAGCAGGAGATGTGGAACTAGCACTTGAGAACCCTAACAGCAAGTACGTCGTGTCTTTAATCTGGAGAATTTATTTAAGTTACCTGGCTTGCTCTTCTGAGGAGAGTGAATCATTAGTAATGAACATGAGCTCTAACTTAAATCTGGCCTTTTAGTAAAGACAGTGCCCCGTCTTTGATTAGACAGCACTTGTTTCTGCAGCCTTTTCTCTTTACTCCCATCTCGGGCTGGTCCTTTAACTGGTCATCAACATTCTTCAGGGGAAACCTTAAGCCTTCGCTCTTACTGCTTGCTATGAAATCTGTCTGAAGTTTGGAAAAAGATTCTTTGTTTCCTTAGAACTTCTTTGCTTCTTTATAAATTGTAGTTTTGGACAACACTGTGTCCTCATTCACTATCAGTGAGTAGTGCTACTTCCACTCTGCCTTTGAGAATGAGGCACACCTGTAGTGCCTTGATTATTTATGGAGTCAGCTTCCTCAGTGCCAAACAGTAACAGATAACTCTCGGTGTTCAGTTTTCAATGATTAAAGCTGGAATGTTGTGAAAATTGTGTTCTTTTTACAGTAATCTGCAAACTACTTATTCTATCTTCTCTGGGGGTTTGCCGATGTGTCACTGCACCAGGAGTGATGTCCTACACTCTCCTGTCATCTCATGCCATTGATTATCACTAGAGCTAGCAGATAATATGTTTTCTTATTTGTCAGTTTTCTTCTACTAGAATATGAGCTCCGGAGGAGAAAGAGATTTTGCTGTTTTGATTTACTGGCATATAGTGGGTGCTCAGTAGTCACTTGTTGGGTGTATGAATGAATGGCTTGTACAGTATGCAAGGTAAAGGTTAAACTGAGTTCAGTTGCATTAATAAATACCACAAATAAAATAACAGCTTATTTTGACTTTACAGTTAATGGTCAAAGTTTATTTTATTAACAAGTGAGTTCTACAGAGAACAGAATCATCTTCTGGCTTTTTGCTTTTCTCTGAAATGTCTCCAGCATGTATATTTGCCTTTCATGGTTGTTTTATTTTATTGTTTGCAGTGCTGAGGGTCAAGCCAGGGATTTGCATGTGCTAAGCAGGTGCTCAGCTACTCACTACATCCTCAGCCTCACACTAATTTTATATGTAATGATTTGCCAAAACTGATAATTCTTGGTCATCACTCATCCTCATGGACTTTATAACTTTGGAGGGGGGGTGGACCGGGGATCGAACTTGGGATCTTGCGCTTGCAAGGCAGGCAGCAGAACCACTGAGCTAAATCCCTGGCCCGACTTTATAACTTTTGCGATTTCCAGTTTAGTTTGTGGTCCAGGGGATCAAACCCAGGGCCTCGTGCATGCTAGGCAAATGTTCAACCATTGAGCAACTCCAGTAGCCCTGCTACTTCCCGTTTGTAACAAAACCAAATAAAAGAAAAAACTGGGTTTTTTATTATTTTACTTGGTACGAAATGCAGTTAACATGATTATAGTTTAAGATTAACCAAGTAGTCCAAGCCCAGATGTGTTGAGTAGTAGGAATCCCCTCTCATATAAATTGTCACCAGGTTTGAGAATGTAGTTGTATTCCCACTTAGGGGATGTAAAAAGGTTAAGAATTTGCACACGTTAATCAGTAGCATAGTTAAATAAATCAGTGACTCATCTAGTTCAAAGCATGTGCTGTCTTAATGAAGCTCCCTTCCCTCACTATGTGATTTTGAGTCTCTCTCCGAAGTGGAGCTGCCCCCTTCCTTGCTGTCTAATCATCAGTCCCTCTTTCCTTCTCATGCCACGAGTTGGTGGCCTGCTTGCAGTGCGTTCTGAAGTACTTTCTTCAGCATTGTAGAACTCTGCCACCGTGGCCACTGCAGCTCTGGATTTCACACAGGGATGGGTCTTCATTATATTGAATTCTCCTTGCACTTTGGCTTGCTATCTTAGCCCCACAATCTTGTGACCAGTGCGTGGATGTGTAGATGACCAACAGATGTCATGTTCCATGAGACACTTAATTACAAAGGGTGACTTGGGACACAATCATGATAGCATTTATACAGTGCCTCACACTTTATGGAATGGCTATTACCGAATGAAATAATTATTGGCTCCAGTTCAGTTGCCTGTGCTGAGACTCAAAGTGCTGTAGTGGCTATTTGGATGCTTGCTTTCCTTTATGCCTTCCTGAGAAACAAGAAATGAGAACATGGTGAGAAAATGTCTTCTTCATGCTGTTTACTGAAAGTCCCACTTCTGCCTAATCTCCTGGGGAGGGCTCGTTACTGTTTTGTTGCTCCATTTTCCTTCTGTACCTCTATCAGTGTCCATTTTCTTTTAGCACAGTAAATTTTTACTTCCTGTTACATTATATTTCTTGACAGGAGGCAAAGTTAAAAGGTAACTTACAGATGTGAAGTAGAAGTTCCCATAATGTAAAACTAAAGCAACATGTTCTTACCAGACCAAGTAAACTGGCTGTGGATGACAATTTGATATTTTTAATGCATCTGTTTTTGTAAAGTTGATCATAGTATTGTATGGATAATTATCATTATTATTATTATTTGTAACATTTAATGGTCTTTTTTAGAGGAAATATTTCAGTGTTTGTTTTATAGTTTGGGGCCTCAGAAGACTTCCATGTTTCTGATATCTGATTATATGTCAATACCATGTGTCTTGGGTAGAAGAAAACCTGCAAACTTGTTTTTTCTGTACGAATATATTTGTTTTCCTTTGTAATTGAAAGATTAAAGTCTTTACTCAGTAAGGAAAGTTTTATGTGTACCTCGCGAATTCTTTTAGCTATCATGTTGAATCTTAATTTCTAAATAATTTGCTAACAATTATAATGAGAAAAGCTCCCAATTTCATTTTTACATTTTAATGAATTATTTGTGTCATATATGTAAACTGTCACAGCATGAAATCAGTTTTCTGCCTTGATTCATCCCAAATCTGAGACGGCTATCACATTAATATTGTAATTAGAAACATTAATAGAGACGGCGACTTAAAAAGCATACTTCTCTTCTTGGCAATTTAGCATATTTCTCTGCATGCACAAGGCTTGGAGAACCTTCAGCCCACTAATAAATTTATTAACTCAACTTAAAAGAAGTGGAAAGTCTCTCTTTCTTCCCGCTCCCCATGGCCAGGCTGCTAAAATAGATTATTCATGCTTGTTTGATTCAGGTAGGCTTTTGCAAGCTTCCCTGCTAGGCCTGGGAATGGGCTACACTGAGCCCCTTTCAGAGGGCTCTGACGCAGACGGGCTTTTATTGCATGGTGTTTCATTCTGGCCAAATCCAAGTCTCCACCCAGTTTGTAGGCACTCTGCTTATCCTTTTGAATCAGGAGAGGTTATCATCTGCCGTAATCCGTGCTGCTGCGTGGATTAGGGACACCAGTGAGCCCCAGGGTTCTCAAAGAGGATCCTGGAAACTTCTGGTTTCTTCTTTTTTTGCTGTCTTTACTAAATTCTATTGGGCCCCAGGGGGATTTGCATCTGAAATGGGCGACCTGGTGTTTTTCTCAATGAAGACATCAGATCAAAGTTCAGTTAGTCAAGGCCTTTCTAAAACGTTGAGGGGGCTTGGGCTCACACAATGAAAAGATGAGTTCTGGCAGAGATTGCAGTGAAAACATTCTGCACCATAATCCGGATAAAGAATAGATTATAGGCCAAAGAACAGACCTTGTTTCGGACTAATGCTAAGACCTGGCTTTAGACTAATAACTACCTTTAAAAACTTCACACTCTATTTATAAGAAGCATATTTTAATGGTGTATAATTTATTTATACTGTCAGTACTTTACATCCAAAATGGGTAAATCATATTTTGGGAACCATAATTCTGCATGTAATACTGTATTGGAAAGATTAGATCACAGCCAACTAATAGATCTCCAGATCTCTTTCATTAATGAAAATGAGTAGAACTTTGTAGAGAGATGAATAGTTATTGTATTAGGAAAATAAACGTCAGACCCACAAACTGGATCTGAGAAAAGTACTTCTGTGAGAAGTGTTTTGTCCCATGTTACTGTATAATTTGATGAGTATAGCCATTTAATTTACAAATACAAACTTTTGAAGTCTTAAATGCAAATATCTGGTGTCAAGCAGATTTGTGTTTTTAGCTAGATTAAGAAATTGTCTTTTAGTAAGATGTAAGATAAGAACCCAGCATGTGTATTTCTTCTCTTCCTAAAGAGGTTATTTAGTTTTGTTGAATGTTCTTAAATTTGCCCATTTTGTAGCATTTAGGACATGGAAATTATGTAAGATTAGAGCAGAGCTTTTACTAGAAGCTGTGGTCAGGTGGAATTTGTTAACATTTCAACTTTGAATAGAGGGGTGTGCATGTGTGAACATATGTGTGTATTTTTTTCTGATGTGCTGAATGAAAACTGAGACCAGAGTCCATTCAAAGCAGTGAAATAATTAGTAGATTTTATAACATGTATAAATACATGTCAATAGTTATTACATTTTCTTAGGAAAAAAATAGTTTGCTGGAGAAGTTATTAATAGGGAACACAAAGCAGGAATTATCAGTGAACTAGCGATTCTGCCAAGCGCTGACCTGTCTGGTACATGGACTGTGTCTTCCAGCTCTGTCCTGTGCCCTGTCCTTGCCAGAGTAAGGTGGTGCCTTTTATGCCCTAAGCTTAATTTGACAGCCTGTAAGAAATGCTGAACATACATGTGCTTTATCTTGTGAGCATTTCGTTTTTAAAATTATATTTAGTATATTTAAGTACCTGGTTTTTGGGGGGCCTCCCACCAGTGAATTAATGTTGATTAATTTTCATTTGGGTCCTAGCAACTGCCTATTTAGTTTTTCATTAAAACTTGAAATCTTAAACATTAAGTAAGAATTACGCATTCTTTGTTTTAAAATTATTTATTATTCTTAAATTATTCTTTAACTTAAGAGATACAGTAAAGTAAAAAGAAGTCTTAATGCTTATTAAATTTGGCAGTAAAGAAACTTATTTATATATTATAGTACATAAGTATATATCATTGTTTTGCTGGATGTCGGATGATGAAATTGTAGTTAAAAAATAATTTTCTTAAATAACCAGTACAGGTTGTTTTAGCAGGTTGGGCCAGTGGCGTCTTCAAGATTTGGTCATTATTATGACACATCCAAAAAGATCCCCCAAGAACTGCTTGAGACTGCAAAATGGCATGAGTTCTTCCTTCCAGAAAAGTCATCTTCACCCCTCAGCACAGAACCCTGGTAAGTTAATGGCCCGTATATGAGTGGATTCCAGTTTGAATGTGAATTCTGGTCAATAGAATACATTTTTTTAACACCAGGTTTGGAAGCTCACATACCCTAATAGTAAATCTCATGTTCCTGCAGTACATAGGGTTCCCATTAACTATGTAGCTCTTGTCATCTCCTCCTCCTCTTTCACATCCTTGTCCTCCTTCTCATTCTGCTTCTGTACTGTCAGGCTGGCTATCACTTTCGTTTACAGCTGGAAAACTAGATTCCAGCTAGTTATGACCTCTCGTTTTGTTTTTTTTAAAAAATGAAACAGTTCTAAGTCAGCATCTTTCAACATGCCATTACTTATTAATAAGTACTTATTGATAATAACAGCAGGGAAAATGACACAAAGTAATACTCCTTGTTCAATGTCTTGGGCAAGTGCACTTTCAAAAAGTAAGTAAGCCTGTACTTTCCCAAGACTGTTTAGTTATGGTGCAAATAAAATAATCTGTATAGTGTTAGGTGAAAAGCATTTATAGTGTGAATTTTACAAGGAAGAGTTTAAATGTTAAAACAACCCATCTATACTGCTAATAACTTCAGTAAGATAGAATGCTGAAAATTACAGGACTTGATACTGAATAATTTATAAAGTGCTAATATTTAATTTCAATTCTTATTACAGTAATCCATGGAACAGGGTTGTGGCCTTGGTTAACTTTAACGCTATAAAACCATTACTTGCAATGTAAAATGAATGATGAAATAAAGATCTAATACACAGGAAGTTGTGAACTGAGATTTAAAAACCTGTGGTTTCCTTTCTGGAAATAATACCTGAGAATTCAGTGCAGACTGCTCTACTTATTCTTATGCGCCTTGCTTCTAAAACCTTCCTTCACTTTAGTACGGGGCTGTCTGGTCTGTGTCCAGATACAGCGTAGGCGACATTGGTGCTGTTTTGGTGAGAGTCGCTCTCATCGCGTGACTGCAGTCTGCTCCACACCCCACACTGGCCAGCTCACATAGCCCTGTGTCCACCCTGTGGAAGCATGGATGCCTCGTTTCCAGAACCATTGATTCACAAAAGTGATTTATCTGAGGCTCAACTATGAAGTTGTAGAACCAGGATTGGGGTGTCAGATTAGTTCTCTGTCTCTTAGCTTCACTACCTGAGAAGCTTTGGGTGTCTTTCACATTTACCTTTTGTGTTATGGAGAAAAGAGCACACTGTTAGAGGGATGAAAAATCTGTGCAGATGCTAAGTTCATCTTCCTGTTAATCTTGAGAAGATCTCTTAAATTCAGTGAAAATAAATATCCTGGTGTGAAAAATGTGGGTCTGAGGGATAGAGAAGTTCTACCTACACTACCCACATTGATGATTTTTGTTCATTTTGAATGATTACACTGACTATGCTAGTGCCTAACTTCTGCTACACAGTGAACCAAATTTACATACAGGCGTGGGAAATACATCCAGACAACTTTTCCATCATTTCTCAGAGAGTAGCTGGTGGATCTGAGACGCAGGGTGCGCGCTCTGTGACTCAGAGTGCTGTGAGCAGTTCTGTTCACCCTGCTTCTCGAGGGAATGAGGGCCTGGGTTCTGGAGGCTCGCCTGGTGGGGTGAGGCCTGGGCTTAGTCCCCAGCACCATGGGAGTGCAGAAGGCGAGGCATCGCTGGGTGTGATGCAAGGGAACAAATGCCAATACAGGGCTACTTCTGTGCTTTAGAACGTGTATTTCGGGGCTAAAACTTTCTTTATGCCAAAAAGTACAAGATTTTATTCCAGCATTCAGCAGTTGAGCAAAGGAAGAAATTAACTGTAGTTGAACACCTTCTGTGGTTGGGATACTAGTCAGGCCTTACACTATGCATATTTAATTCTCCCTCAGCCCTGGAGGAGTAGCATTAGTGCATCTTGTGGGAAGCCTGGGGTCAGAATGCTCAATAACGCTCCTAGGCTGCAGTCCTGAGTAACCAAGCTGTCACCCAAACCGAGGTCTCCAGAACCTCTACCCAGGCCACCTCCATCCACCCAGGAGTCCGTGGACAGTCCACCCAGCTGGCACCAGAACTGCACCTTGGGTAGCTGGGAGCATGGAATCCAGTAGTCTTTCAAATACATATTTTCTGAGTGTGTTTTGAGAGCTAGCAGTTTTGTACAGAATAGGAAAATTTATAGATTTTAATTATCAAGGCAGTATTTCATTTCATCCTAGTTAACTGATAATTCATTTATTTCATATTAAACTTAAATGCTTAATTAAATGTAATTAAATTTTAAACATGTAATTAAATTAATTTTGAAAATGGGTACTTTACCATGTGAGATTTATTTTAATTTATGAAAAGCGTGTGCTCATTTCACTAAAATGAACTTTACTGGTTCATTTATAAAACAATAAAGCTAAGCCTCATAGTTGTCTATATTTCCTATAATTAAGGCTAGAGTATATAGCTGTGTCCCACTATCATATGTGAAAATAAATATATATAATTTCATAATTTCAAAAGGTGCTATTGAAAACATGTAAAGATATTTTTTCAGCAAGTAAAACTAAAGGTCATTTGAAATTTGCAGCAATTAATTTTAAATTATTGGTAGATTTGCCTTGGTAAAAATGTTCAAACATATAGCTTAAATTTTCAGATTTAAGCCTAGGCACAAAAACTTGATATGTTTCACAGTACATAATATTATTGAGACAGTTTTGATATTTCATTGTCAAAAATTGAATAATCTGGGTCACAAAATAATAGATGAGAAAGCTCATTTTTTTTTTTTGGTTTTTGTTTTTTTTGTTTTTTTTGTTTTTTTGTTTTTTCGGTTCCAGGGATGGAACTTGGGACCTTGTGCTTGTGAGGCAGGTGCCAGAACCACTGAGCTAAATCCCCGCCCCAAGAAAGCTCATTTGAGAATAATTGTGTAGTCTGAGAGTTTTAAATTTTGCTTTGTTTTGCATTTAACATTTGCCAAGAGGAGGGTCTGAGAGCACTTTGGTTTCCTCAGTAGGAAACCTCTTCCATCGATGAATAAACCTGCTACATAGGGGACCCACTGTGTGACTGTCCTCTGGGCTCCCAGGGCAGGCCTGACTGGGCGATGGATTGGAGAGGGCCCTTGAGGGACCTCAGATTTAGACCAAGTGATGAGGGCGGAGCCTGGTCACGTGGGGTTGAAGTCCTCACTGAAGAGCAGGAGACCCTAGAGTTCCCAGCCAGGCCCTGTGTGCACGCAGCAAGGCGGCTGGAGACCAACCCTGCTGCTACCGTGCCTTGGTCGTCCCGGCCCAGAACCACTAGATGATAAACTCCTGATGATTCAACACCCCGTCTGTGTCTGCTGTGATGGCAGCCTGTCTTAGTCTACTTGTGTTTCTGTAGCAAGACACCTGAGATTGGGTAGTTTATAAAGAACAGAAAGGTGTTGTCTCACAGTTCTGGAGGCCAGAAAGTCCAGGATCCAGGGACTTTGGGTTCTGTGGTCTGAGGAGCACTGCCTTCCACTTCCAGAGTGACAGCTGGTCCCTGCGGGCTCTGCCGGAGAAATACTGTGTTCTTGCATGGTGGAGGGTGGAGGAGCAAAGTAGCCAAGGGCTGTATAAATCCTCTTTTATCAGGGCATAATCCTATTTAGGAGGGAGAAGTCCTGATGGCTTAATTACCTCAAGAGGCCCTGCCTCTTCACGCTGTCACACTGGCAGCACTGGAACTTTAGAGGGACCCACTCGAGCACAGCGGAGTATTTCTGTTCCAGCTAGTATTTCTCTTACATTGTAAAATGTTATATTTTAGCTATAGGTACTCTGCATCTTGAATTTTGAGTTTCCATAGAGTTGATGGTAAATAGAATGCATTCATTTTTATGTTTCTCTGAATTTCAAGCTTTTATTTTTACACGTTTATCCACACAGTGAACGGTAATTCTTTACTTTGGCTAAGTTTTGTACTGATTAAATTCAGTGAACTGAATTCTGAGAAAACCAGTTATCTTTCTAGGGGAATTTACAGGACAAGATCAATGGAAAGAGGATGGAAATAGTACTGAAGGTTTTAGAAGTCATTCTGTTTCTCTTTTCCTGCCAGGTTTCCTTTCCAGGTGAAATGGGACCTCCACAGCCTTCTGTAACATTTTCCTAGACCAAGTACAGTTGTGCTTCCCATTCACTCCTACTGATTTTTCTTCATCTTCTGTCAGAATACTAATCACATTACACTACAATTATTTTCTTTGTCGGCATGCTTGCTTTCCCCTCGAGCATTGTAAATCCTTGAGGAAAAGCGTTTTGCTTTCTTCAGGTGCTAGTGCTGGAGTCTAGGACGAAGTTGTCTGTATTTGATGAATTAATGCATTCTACAGCACTCAGATAACCTCAGCCTTTTTCTAATCCCAGTGTTCAGGAGAAACCAGCAACTGGGCCTGGGTCACATAGGAATGTATGGTACTTCAGAAATACTCCACAACTCTCTGAGATTGAGAAGCAGAGAACTGTAGTGTACTTGGAAGTCAGAAATAGAAAATTGATACTTACAAGAAGGAATCATGGAGCAAAATTTAACAAGACTAAAGTTTGCAACAAAAGTTATGTAGTTGTAGAAATATAAATTATGTTATTAAAAACAGATAATTAGTGATACATTAATACAGAGCTCAGAACTGACGAAAAGATACGGTGTAATTGTAAATAGAGATTCTTGTCTAACTGCTTAGCTGCTTAGTAAAATTAAAGTAAAAATACAGAACTGTATCCTGAACTGTTTTGATCAATGAAGAGAAGTTACTTGCTTGTATGTTTATCTTTCTGTTTTCCTCCTTTTGTTCTTTAAGGGGTTTTATGGTTCACATCCAAATTGTCTTGTATTGAGCCAGGCATTTAGCTCAGTGGTTTTGCTGCCTGCTGCACAAGCGCAAGGACCCGAGTTCGATCCCCAGTACCAAATAAATAAATAGTCTTATGTTCATAGGTGGGGCTGTCAGATGTGATTGATCATGGAGTGCTGTACTCAATGGTGGA